TTGAACAACTTCAAAAAATGAGATATTTCGAAAAGACGGTCGTCATTAGCATTTTCGCTGTTACCGACCAAATGCAAAGCGCGTAAAAGTTTCCCGAAACGATTTCTTGTAATGATTAAGCTCATGATTGAATGATCTCTAGACCAAACGCCGGTTCTATAATAAATATCAACAATCATTCATTAAGGGCAATCCTACCAAACCCACTCAAAGAAATATTCGGAAAATCTTCCTTTTCTCTTACGATTCTCTTATGTACTTCAAAAAATGGTCATGCTGGTCAATGTAGTCCACATGTGGGCCGCAGTCGCGAGTGGACGAAAAGCGCGCCGGTCCTTCGCGGCGCTTTCCTCGCCAAACGTGATGGTCGTCAATGGGTTAAAAAGACCGAATAAGCAGAATTGAAATTCTTTTCGCGACCATTTACGTAGAAACACATTCAAACTTTTCACTTGCTGATTACTGCATTTTCCTTCTATCTCATATTGCTTTTCAGACACAAATTCTTATTTTGAAGAACCTACCAGAACATTGGAAAGGCAGTGGAGGGTTTCATATCTCGATGGTGCTTGTTGGCCTATTACACAATAACATTGGCTTCGAAGATCGGCAAACTGGTTGTGATATTTGAACTCAACATCTCCGCACGAATCCTCAAAACAGTGGTACAGTGCTGGCTTTATTGATACTGATTTGTTACATTCAGAAGTATGTAGTTTCTTGACGTACTCTATTCGGCTTCGAAAAGAGTCCACACAACAGACTTTCCCTCAGGGTCGTAACTGCGTTTTAATGCGCATTTCGCTTGACAAGGAGCAAGTCAGCAGCTTCAGATTATTAAAAAACGAGTTAGTGTTCATAGTAGAAATTGATTTTAACGGACACGGGTGAGTATCTATTCAAAACTTGAGTTCCACAGCAGCAGTGAGCACTCGAAGTTTTCAGATTGGGGGTGGGATTCTGTACAAACCTCCGCTTCGTCTCAGGGGATCGCAGTGCAGTTGTAAGATCTGAATTACCAGCGAACGATTACAGTGTCACAAGAATCACGGATTTGTCGCTGAAGTTCAGGATGCCTCATGGCTTACATCTCCATCGTTTCGATAATGGCCTTAAATACTGTCGAAAAAGAAGCGCTAAGCGAAGCCCTAGGCAACCAGGGTACTCAAAATATAAGGACTGTAATGAACTCTATGACAACTTCACGACTACGATTTCCCACTCAACGAGGAAGTCTAGTCAACAGAAAGAAAAAGGTTCGGCAAGGCGATACCGTTTCGCCCATCCTTTTCAGTGCGCTCTCGAGAACATCATGCGTCATTTGGACAGGGGAGATTTGGGAGTTAAAGTCGACACTCGCTTCTAACACCATCTCCGCTTCGCAGACGACATCGTGCTTATAACACCCTACATCGAGCAGGCGGAACGAATGCTGGCCGAATTCGACAGCGCTTGTGGAAAGATCGGCTTGAATGCACAGTCCAGGATAACTTTGAAGTACCTCTTTTTAGTCGATAAGCGGAAGTGGAGGGTGTGAATAGTTCATCAGTAGTAACGAAAAATAAGCTAGGGAAAATAGAGGTTGGACGAGATTACCGCGACGGAAATAACATGGAACGGGTATTCGGACGAGATTTCAGTTGTTGCCATTGCACAAAGAGCTGACTGCAGTAAGCAAAAAGTGAACAGAACTGCCTTTCACAGACGCTATTGGTCATGACATGTTGTTTGATCTGTCTACATTGGCTTCCTTGCGACTGGTGCGGCTTCCGCAATGCAGATGAAACTCGTCCGGGCAAACACACGATACAATCTTTGAACTTTTATAACCCCCTCTCTAGACCGTTTTCAGGTATGGCAGCGCCACACACCTCATACGAGGATACTACAAACATTCTAGCGGGATATCTAAAAAGTCATTTTTATCGTAAACTGTGCTTTTAAGACAGGTGGCGGAACTTCTCCCCGAATTCCCACGGTCAGCGGCAATGGTTCCGCTGCGACTGCCGTACCCTTCCACTGGGAATTCAAATCTTTCTCTTCATAGCGCCCGACCGAGGGCGGCGAGAGCGACACGCCGTGCAGGGAAATCATACCAGACCCCTTTCAAGACTGAAGTGTAACGAAGACGGTGTTCATAAGAATTGGATTGGTGCCTGATGCTCCCTTTACGGTAACTGAGCGATTAACTCCGATGCTCAAGTCTAGTGTATATAGATCGTAAAGCAACATAATGAAGTAACTAGCTCTGGAGCTGAGCAGAAAGAAACGCCCCGCGAGCGTAGAATTTAAGAATAATATCAAGCGAGTAGTGAAGAAGACAAAGAACATCCGGCTCCGCGAACACCTTTTCGACACTGTTTTACTGATTGCTTTGACGGAGGCTTCGGAGACTTGGACTGTACGAAAGCAACATAATGAACATGCTGACAGCGTCATTCAAAGCATTTTGGAAGAAATGGCGCTTGGTATTTTCTTATACATGCAAGTGCAGGGAATCCGGAGTTTCGAGCTCCGTAAACGAATGAAGATCAGGGATGCCGTTGCATATGCCAAGAAATCGAAGATCAGGTGGGTCGAACACATGCGATATCGTGATGGCCGTTGGACAAAGGCGGTTACAGACTGGATCTTTCGAGACGTCAAACGAATACCAAGACGGCCGTCAGCGCGATGGTAAGATTTCGTCATGAATGTTCTGAACGGAAGAAATTCTGTACCTCGTGTCCCACAAGCCAGGACGACCCACTGGACTACTTCGGCACGCGACAGGGATGAATGGAGACGTTACCGGCGTCCGCTCAAGGAAATCGTTGATTAGAGGGACGACAGGTGTTACAGATGATACGTCATTGATCGCTATGACACAGTAGTTATTACTTAATGATATAAAGCCACACTTTGTGCAACAACATAATTACAAGTACTTGTCAAAGTGTGACTCTTTTCAGGACATAAAGTCTCGTTAGGTCTTTTCACGAGACTACGACCGTGTCTCTCCATCTGGTGACGTCTCGTATAACTTCTGATAGCCGTTGTGAAACACACAGAAGAAGAAAGCCACTAAGTATAAACCACAGGCTCATCCAGTTCGCTACAGTCGAAAGGAAGACATCACTACAGTTAAGGAAACCATAATGACTGAGAAAGAAGACATCATGATACTCAGTAGATCATCTCCAATTTTTACTAATAATTGCTATATGTACCTCGCGAACTTCTGAAGTAAATCCGGCTTTGAAATAATCTGAAATCATACACCCGGTTTCATTGGTTCTTACATGAACGCTGGAGCAAATGACGTGTCTGTTCTACAAATAGACCATCATAGGCATGATAAATTAAGTTCAAATAAAACTTACCAATTCGGGATTAGGACTTGTTTGTTCCAGATAGGGGCAGTTACGTAACTGCCCAATGCCACTACAATAATGAAGTAGCTGGAAGACTATCGGTAGAATAGTCACAACTGACACTGCATTAGCCATGTTACTATTACTAATGGCATGGAAGCAAATGAACTGCCGAAATCAATCATCCTTAAATACAACACTATCAGTACAATGAACAATGTATATTTTGAGCAATCTAATCTCAAGTATACACTATGATTTCATTCAAAAAACTACTTATTCTAAAACAAACCGCTCTCGATCAGAACAATAATACTGGTATCAGCCTGTTTACCCCAGGATACCTGCCCTGGTTTCCCTTCGATTCGACTTCCCCTTCCTATACGATGGCAATCTTTCTCCACCTTTTTCCTACTAGAAACTGTAAGGAAGTCAATCACTATGACTGTAACCAATCCATATTCGGGCCTCTACAATACTGCTAGGTTGTGCGGGAGGTATGTGCCTAGGGGTCCTGTAAAAACATTATGGGGGTAGTGTCTCTACTTAGAAGCCCCAAGTGGACTTTCAGAAAATTCTGAAGGAATCTGGAATAATGTGAAATTTAAAGAGACACTTTCCACACAACTTCGTTTCTTGATCTGTACACCCACCAACAGCATATACGCATAATCACTCTCTCATAGCTGGAAAGAAACCAATAACTCACCCGTACTCAAACAGTTGCAAGCTCCCAATCATTTTTCACAAAAAGGTGGAACTTTTTTGCAAAGTAACTACAAAAGGAAACTCATTTCTTTGTCTTAAATCTAGCAGAAATGGGAACGAAAGCGTTTGAATTTTTAAAAAACCTCAGTGACATCACGTATGAAGCAATCAGTGAGGCAGTCTCAGCTTTACGGCAAGAACTCGGTTTGTTTCAAAATCGACTTTACTTGATGCACAATCACAGAGCTTTGCACTATGGCATATTGGGGCTCTGCCACTTATAAAAACAGCATTGGACGACACATTTGCAAGTATAGAAGCTATAGCGAAATGAGAAAGAAACTAATCACAACATGCACATTAGAAAAAAAAACACCGAGAATTTATACATGACTTGCACAACAAACAAATAAATAATAAAGAAATGGAGTATGACTAAGCATGGTCTGTTAGACCGGAATGTTTACATATGAAGAGCGATATATGTATGAGTACGTCGGTATGCTACGAGATATATTGCTCTAAATCACAACTGGTATACTGGAATTACGTGACAACATGACAAATTACAAAATAATCGTCGGACTACAGAGTCGTTCCTTTGATTGACTCGATTTGGTCAGAATACTATGCTAATACATAAGAATTAAATCGATATTGCACCACCTAGTGTGGTAGGGGTTAGTTCATTCACAACCATCTCGACCCTGTGTCCTGTTAAACGTCATTGCTCTCTGGGTTTGTTCAAATCGCGAAGATTGGCTAGGAATTTTTCCGGGGTGATGATCTGATCAGATCCTGAAAGATCGTAACCATTCAGCCTAGAACTTCCGAAACTTAACTATGATTTAACTGACCTATGATTACTTCCCAAGGTTTCTTGGCTTGAGTTACTTCATATGCTGCACGCATTTCAGAGTATGTCAGCCCTCCAATAACGAACACAATCAAACGTGGACCACTACGGTACTGGGCTTGCTGCCCGCGTTCCTTGTGCCATTGTCCATAACGTGCTGACGTCGGCGCTCTGAAAAGTTTGAAACACCTATGAGTTGCATTGATAGATTTCAAACCTCCTCTTCGAGTTTCATATCCAGAGTTTCATATAAGTACCAATAAAAATGAAGGGCGACTGCGGTACAGCGGCATTTGGCGCACTATAGGGCGCACATGGTCCGGAGATCGAATCCTGGATTGATCGATAATTGCCCAGACCAACAAGTTTTTCAACTTTCTAAGGTGGGTTAGTTGGTATCAGGCTCGTCTGAGAGGATGAAAAATCTGACGGTTACCGCATTTTATAGTGTAAGCCTCATACGTATTCAATGGGGTCTATTAACGCCAAAGACCTTACTCTTCAGCCCTTATTAATGGGGATATTTAGGAGAGGGAATCCCAAGAGGAGGAACTTGAATTATTCACCGAAACCGAAAAGAACTGTCTGATGGCAAATGTCAACTGAATATAGTCACCGTGGTTTCCATGGACCATCAGCCATCCATCTTAAGCTAGCTGGGCACCACTTCCGATCGGTAAGGTAGTGACAAGGACAGGGCTAGGTATGACATTGCAGAATTTCATAGTCCATACTTCTTCCATCCAAAAAGTAATTCAACAAAGTTATGAAAACTTCAAAGTCATTAGCTCACTTGATGAAAGGACTGTGAAGAGCATACCTGAATGGCTGGTTAGTTTGACGACCGGCAAGGAATGGAAAGTGTTTCGTGTCAAGTTTATCGTCAATTGCGTCTTCCATTATATCTTTCAGAGCTGGAACCCATCTCGACGACTGGTACACCTGTTCATTCGGTCGTTCTTTTCGCATAGGCGTCCACACCTTCTTTCTACCTTGCTGAAACATCGGAAAACGTTTTCTCGCCCTTTTGTAAGGTTCTACTTGATCATACATCTGTAGTAATATTTAATCCTAGGAAAGCCGCATTCGTGATGGTTTCCTTTTCGGCCATGGCTATATTGGCATGTTGCAGAAGTTTGTTGAGATTTTCGTCAGTGATCCCTAAAATCAGGTTCCAATATGGCGATAGGTAAATTAAGTCGAGAGTATGACACAACACGGAGACGGAACCGCAACTCACATACCATTTTTGCTAAGAATGTAGAGGAGAATAAGTCTCAGCCTATCCTCGGTCTTCACAACCGGATCGATCAATAGTGGCACCATCAACTTCATCGGATCCCTCACACGTTCCCCTTCAGCATCAACTTGTGTGGCGAGATCCTGAAAATGACGGTTTTATCCACATTAACTAGCCTGGGGTGACCTTATAACCTTACCTGCTCCACTTTGCACAGCTTATCCACACCGCTTTGATACTGGCGCATGCATTCTTCAGCCAAATGGAAGTGGGTACTGAAAGATTAAGCCATAAATCTGATTCATTGAAGAAAAACATGCCTGAGGAATGGAAATGACCTGAATTTATTCAGTTCCTTCTGATGTTGCGGCATCTTCTTGATCATCATGGACAAGTCTTTGATCGATTTCGCGTCTGCTTTGAAGCCTGCCTTAGTATCGCTGAACTTCTTCAGACCTTTCGTGACCTGAAATTCCAGTTCAATCTGCAATGATCACCAAGAAATAATGAGCAGGGTCGATATATACCTATGCATTAACGAGAATATTCTCATGATACGTTCAGGCGGCCAAAAAACAGCCGGAGACCAAACGCGATAAAACCCCCAAAATTGAGCGGTAATCGATTAATCTTCTAGTTTTACGACTATTCAAACCCAATTCTTCCCTACCACAATCTTGCACACGATAAATATTTATAATTTTTTCCATGATACTTTGTAAGCATATGCTATATACACAACCTATGGGCGAAATTTACCTCTTGAGAAACTACAGCAATGTGTTTGTGACGAGTGTCAACCCACAGGTCGTCATTTTCATCCAGAAGAACCTGAAACTTGTCTCGATTAATTAAGAAAACAGAAGAATTCACCATCCCAAGAAAATAAAGTAAATTCACCTACCTCCTTCTCAATGCTGTCATTTCCACCCGTTTCGTAACGGTAAACATCGTTTTCAATCCCAAGCAAGTCGTAGCACATTGCTTGCAGTGTCAATTCGTGAAGCAGTGGAGTAACAGCATCGAAACCACGATCTGCACAAAATATTGTACATAAAACTAGTGTTGCATCAACATCAAAACTCCGGTCATACCTATGATTAGAAGTTGACTGCGAGCCTTGTCAGCCCCTTCTCCCATCGTGGGATCATCAGCCTTATAGGCATCTAGTTTTTGTTCAACAAGATGACCCAGTTCGACATTCCTCTCAAAATCAGCTCGGTACCTTAACCGCATGCCATGATGGATGATTAAAAAACAACAACAAAATAAAAGATAACTTGCCGCAGAGAAGGATATTCTCCCAAAGTGGCACAGACCGTGGCAAGCTGTTCGGCTATACGCTCAAGATTGGATGTTAACCCTCCTTGCTTCTGGGCATTGTAATAAAGAAAGTAGGTGTCGGGTGAGTCTAACGTGTACACCTGAAAATCGATGAATTGGAGAAATATTGACCCACACTATCAGCCCCTGTTAGGTGGAAAATATAAAAGTTCCGAATTTTAATTCTGGCGTGCCCTTTGGACACACATCTTGCACTCGAAGATAACCTCAACCTCTCCCTTTCTACCAGGCTGTAATCTACACTGTTCTAAGCCACTTTGGCGTCAAATAACTCGCTTCTGGCTTTAAAGTTCACCACATAAAAGCTGAAATGATTTTCACGAAGCCCATAGAATTGAAATTCCGTTCTTCTTGGAGGTAGTAAGTTCATGGTGGGCACTATTCATCTATACAATTTTGTACCTTAACCCGTCTAGCTCGAATTGAAATCATAAAGAGGACACCTCTTACTTTTTGCTCAGGGAGAGAACTTATTCACCATTACCGGGCACTACTCGTTTTCCTTGGAAAAGCATTCCTGGAATAAATTTACGCTAATTCAACGAAAATGTCCGGCTAGTATAAATAAAATACCAATATTCACACTAAACCCTTCGTACTTAACTTGGGTACTCGGGTAATGCTTGAAATTTCCATCCAAAATAAGATCAACATATAGGCTTACAACAAAGTAAGAAAAATGAGATCAGGAAACAGTCTGAGACGAAAAACTACCTGACTCTCGTAAGGAGTGAAAGCGATATTGATTTCCTTCAACGTTTTAATATAGCGAGCGGCAGCACTGCGAGATAGTTCGGAAAACAGCGTGTCAGTACAAGCTTCCGTGAAAAACACATGGGCACATTTGTACTGATTACGTACGGTGTAATCCGCAATCAAACGATCAATCTGGAAATAAAAAATATCACGGGTACTGAATTAGGCAACCCGTTTTCCAAAATTCAACACAATTGACTTTGCTAATTCTTTCCTCGAGTTCTCGACATACAACAACCATGCTGATTGTTGCTGGCCCAATCTGTTAGTATTATTTTTCTCTTAGGAATTGGAAGAAGAATTAAAACCCACAGTTGTTTGACTGAATGAAAGGAAAATTGATAGGTTTTATTTGTTATAAGCCTTACGAAAGGAGACTTTTCTCAGCACCACCACTTCTCACGAACGATACCGACGAACGAGTGAATGCACTAAAGACTATCCCTCTGTTCCGTTCTAAATCGAGCACATAGGTGTGCGCCGATTCGAGCGGTAACACTTTTAGAGCAAAGCGCAAACAAACGGCTAAAGAGACACTCCCATTTCGGAAAAGAGGCAGAAATACATTCTGGCATTCTTTCGTTGTTCATTGTCAACAATGCGGTCTTTCGCAAGAGGGCTTGTATAGTACTAAGTGACAATATTAATTCCACTCCTTTGAATCCGAAGATTACTTAACATCATATCAATTTGATATTATCTGATGAAGTGAAATTACCAGTGTTTTAGTAATTGAGCAGCCGATACGCCATTTTTAAAAACTTAACGAAAACCAGCTTTTAACGCCCACAGTATGACCCAGAACAAGGTCAGTCTTCTTACACTGCACCCTAGACATCGACGGGGCACTACAGGCCTCAAGGGCTCCCCTTGACGCTCAACCATTTCAACTCGAGGAATGGTTCTTATGTGGCTCTACTTTTGATTAATTTGGCTAACTTACAACTTTTCTTTTACTTTAATCATATTTTTCGATTTCTTTGAATCACACAAAAGATGGTCTTTGGTGCTGCCTCTGGAGATAAATTTGACGCGACGTTTTCTGGCGCCTATAATCTCTACGACCAACTATTATTACGCGATGGGCCATCTTGTGGACGTACAAATGGCAGCAAACAGCATAACGTTTCGAAACTATGAATTGCCTTTACACTCCGCTACTATGCTGTTTTGAATAATCATTAAATCCGATTTCTACATTTAGGGTAAGAAATAAGAGGAAATAACATCAGCATTAAATAAACATGCCCAATTAGAAAACGGCTGAGGTTCGCGATATTCACAAACAACTTCTTACAACAGCTATGCTATATTACGCTGTTTCAGAAAAAAAAGAAGGCTGCGACGGTTTCGCAATAATGCGAATCCCCACCTCTCTCCCCTCCCCAAAAAAACAACGACATAACAATCGGCTCAATCATGACCATCGCAAACAACACACGAAAGGGGAACCAGGGAGGCGAAAGCATCAAATTATCGGCCTCAGAATGCGTCATGTCTGCATCCCTTGCAGCATATTAACAAAAACAGTTTTAAATGGATTTATAAAGGTCTCTGGAAATCATAAGGTAGGGTGCTATTAATTCTACCATACGATGATCTTTCTGCCAATACAAAAACGAACCGTTGGGAGAAAATTCTCCCAAAGTCCTCTACAGCACCCTCTTAAGCTTCAACAAGTCAAAAAAGGCGCACTGATTTACGGTGCTACTCACCGATTCTTTGGTTGGAGCAATGAGGTAGATAGCTTCTAGACTAGGAAGTGGTTCTCTTCTCTTCGCCAGATCCTCGACAATCGTAATACCATCTGCAAAGAAAGAATCGGATTCTATGCATACACTCAATGAGAAATAAAAAAATTCAAAAATGGCAGCAAGAACTACAGAAACATTAAAATATTACGGTAAAATAACAAAACTGGCTTGTGAAGTGTTCATACCTTCCATGATGTTGTGCATCTTGCAACAAGCGGAAAGCATACGCATTGCCAGTCGATCGACTACAAGAGCATTCCATCCTTTTCCCTCAGGTTTTTTAAGAGGACGAATGACTTCATTTAGCAACTCTGCAACATTCAAGTGGTATGATTGATTTCGACATTATGCAATCGAGCAATGTTTTGGGCAAAAGCAATTTCCAAACAAAAAAAGAAAAGCTCGAAAACGTCATGCTCATTGATCAAACACTGCCTTTTTCTAACGGCTTGAGCAATATTTCATGAAACACTCTAGATCTGTAACAAAGGAAATCTTTAAAAAACTATAAAACACGCCTTGGGTAGGGCTATTGATTGATGGCAAATTTGATCAATTACCAGCAGCAAATGCTCTCTGGCTTTCAGCTCTTTTTATAAGTTCTCCAAAGTTCTTTAATTCCAAAGAATATGAAAAGAAGATCATGCAGACACATTAGGGTACAAATGAACCACGAGCATTTATGGAGGACATTCCAGGCGTGATGATCCATACACTAGCACCCATAACTTCCAGGACCAATGCTTGTTCCGAGACTCTGGACTGATCCTGATTAGACTCGACATGCTTGCTTAAAGCAGTCGGAGGGTACCCAATGAGACAGTTTTGACCTTCACAAAATCCAACAATATACAGCTTGGCTTACCAATAGGTATGCTAATATTTCCCATGGTCTTAGCTCCAACGATTCGATAACTACGGTAATCTATCCTAGCCGGTCTGGAAGGGATTATCCCAAGTTGATGACTAGATATGCCATTCGTAGTTGCGGAGCAGGAAACAGTGCACCTCAGACTTCTAATAGCTGGTATCACATCAATGCTCAAGTCTACTGCCAAGAACTTGACCGCTTCTCTAGCAAATACAATAACTATGCAGCATTTCCTCAATTATAGGTTTTTGAAATTTCGAATAAAAACCGTTAAACATTTCCTCACACGTTCGCGATATGTTATAATACAAAGTATCATGTATCGTTTGAATGACGAAGCTGGCGTATAATCTAAATGAGTACAAGAACAGCGATGCTGATTCAACAATTATAAATTCATAAAAACAAGTTTGGGTGCATCGAAAGTATCCAAATTGGCGATTAATTTTGAGTAGCTCCACAGCATGAAATAGCCACAACTCATTTTGTAAGAAGTGAACTGGATGATATAGCAACGTCCTGTCCGAAACAAAAGACAGCTGTGCGTGCGTAGTAGCGATGCGGCTAAGCTGGCTAGGCAAGCTGGGCTTTTTCTACAAATCATTTAATTCAGAATAGCTTTCTTTCTCGAATTTTACGTTTCTGTGTCGAATTTCATTATCAACCGTCTTCGGATATAAAGTCATCAATTTTGACTCTGTACAGAGCACATGTCAGCAATAGAGTTGAAGACAAATGAAAGTATTGACGCAAAAAAGAGAAAAAGATAGCGATGGAATGAAACAGCGGTGGTGTTGAAATTATTAGTGTCAGGACAGAACAGTACATCGGGAAAAAAAGGTGCACGGCAGATAATCGATGCCGAAAAATTTATCAGGTCTGTTTGACAAAAACGTAAGAATGTCGTGTCGACTATGACGACTTGCCCTACTTCTTTCTCAGACACTTGAAGGAATGGGCTTCTCCGTTTTACCACAACAGCTGTGGGTGTTAAACGGAGATGACACTAACTTGCAAGAAATGATGAAAAACGCCAACAAATCTATTTACCAAGTGTTATTTGGAAAAATAGGTAAGAATATGAAAGTTAAAAACAAAGATGTGGTCAAAAATAACTTACTGTTCCCAACAATTTGCTTCAGTGACATACTGCCGGGCAAGAAGCTTTTGAATAAAATACCAAATAAACAGAATAGACTAGATTAAATCCACCACCTAAACCTGTAAACAAAATTAACAAATAGTGTAAAAACCACCGGCCGAATTCGAGGATTCAGAACGAGTAAACAAACGATTCATTAGTGATCTTACTTCAATTACTTGCTAAGAACGGAATGCGCCATGATTCTAAAAACAGAAACGATAGATTAAAACAAAAATATCGACAGAGCATGTGAAGGGCTGCTTATGGGCAAGCTCGCATCGTTGCATAAAAGCCTCCAGCTGCCAGATAATCCACAATCGATACGACTGCTCGCCCGAATGCGCTAGATTACGTGAGGGCATTGGAAAAATGCCGTCAATTGCGGCGCCGTTCTGCATTCACGAACAACACTCTTAAACACGAGCAAATTCCTCTCCTTCGCCTGCAGGGCATTCATAGTACCTGGGTTTTTACACGACCATGTGGGTGAAGTGTGTTCAGAGTTGGAAGCTCGTAAAATCTTGGAGTCCTCTTCGAGTATTAGATAACCATTGATGTAAAGGATGGTGAAGTCTTCAAAAAAAAACAATTATCAAGGGTCAAGGGAGCTACCCAAGTCATATTTGTTTAGCACCGGTAATCTTAAGATTTCTCGAACCCTGGATGTTTTTTTGACAATATTCGACTATTGCTATATTTCCTGCGGCGCTTTAATGAACCCGAAGCGAAACTACAGTATCCACTTGTGATTTTGACGACAGAGTGAAAGAACCTTATTTAGAACGCCTGTTATAGAACTGAAAATACCCAGGAAGGATAAATGGGGAAAGGCAGTGACAGGTAGCCAGAGAATCAAATCCCGGCACTTGCTTTAGCCAAACAAGCCTTTCTCTTTGTGGGTAGGTCACTTGGTAGCTGAATCGTCTGGGAGGACGAAACATGAGTTTGTAAATTGAAAGGCCCCGAGTGTCACGACACAGGCCACGGGAACGTGTTCAATGCCACTACAATTCCAAATAGGACTCTAATGCATGGCGCGAGCGATTTGATCAATTATCCTTCATTTCATTCTAGTAGTCTACAGGAAGAATCTAGAGAGATCTAGACATAGTATGGAAGGTGATCTATTTAGAAAACCCTTTTTTAAGTCGATGTTTGAGCCTACAATACAAACGCCTCAACAATTCTCAATAATAGCCGAATGCAGAGCGCATCCCAAATAGAGATTCAGAAACAACTGTGCTATAAATGACCGAGCTAGATTGAGGAGAAACGATGGAGGATTTGATGGGAGCAAAGCGTCGTAGCGTCCATCTATATTCGGAGCTACAAAAAACGTTTCGGAAAAATAAATTAGCAAAAATGGACGAATTTTTTTTATTTTTCTAAAAAGGGAAGAATCACATCGATCATGAGACTCGGTACATATCCTTAGAGCACCATAGATGAACCTTGGGTCTGAGCGGAATCTGCTCTAACTACTTAGCGAGTGGGCGAAAAGCGGCATTTCCACTGCCTGCGAGACATCTGCTTAAAAGGGAAAGAGCTGGAGAGATGCTAGAGCTCTAAAGGTGCTTCACATCCTATGCCTAGTGGCAGGGGGTATGAGTGAAAGGCTTGATGAGACGAGACTCAGGCCCCAGAGAAAAAAGAGTAGTCGTTCTGGAATCAGGCCAAAGCGGGGGAACGAATCACGATTGCGGATGGGATAAGGCAAAACCGGGATTTACAGAAAAAAAGACTGAACCAGTTCGGAAGTCTGCCAAAACATCGTGCAGCTGTTCGACGTTCATAATCGCTTTGCTTTTTATTCTTTCACATTCATCTTTCCTGTAACCTGCCAAAATTTCTACAATTTTCATTTATCCTGACACTGCTGTAAATCACCCTGCCCCCACCCTTCAACATCGTTCCATAAACATTGTTGTACGGTTTGCGGTAGGTATGACGTCAAAGATTTTTTTCTTTGTAGGAGTCCATGGTCCCTGCGTAGGCTAATAGGCGCTGTCGAGTCGAGAAACGGCCTAGATAGGAAGCATCAGGATTTCAAAGGTTTCGACGCCGCTGTCGCTCAGTATTCCCAAAACGGACGTGTTTAGGAGCCTTGTAGAGGCTGCTGTTATTCGTAACAGAGCACGATTGTTGTAAGCAGTCAGCCGGTATATGCTGACAGCTGACACCTGATTCTCTGACAATGAGTGACCCCAGGACATCTTGTCCAAACACCTCCGTCTCCATAAGCGCGACCAAACCCAGAAATGATTAGATTCAAAAAACCTTATATTCAAGCATTTCCAAAGATATCCCTGTTCTCTCGTCGTCGATGAGTTACTGTCCACCGAACTTTTCGCTCTGCAACCCAAATAGGAATAAATTTTCAAGATATATTGTGCCAGAGATTCTGTCACAATTCCAAGTCTTAAGGTCGTCCCTCCCTAATACGCAGTCATTAGTCATTGCAGACTGCAAGTACAATTTCTTCGAATTTCTTCGAGTTTTTATATTCAAAGTCCATCTGCACCTTTTGCTTATAACGCCATTTTTATTACAACAATCTCACTTAAATTCTTTCAATTCATTTTCACCAAGGTCAGCTTTTCCCCTCATCTGTTGCCTATGTTTCTAACCCTTAAAGCTTCTTTGAGTGATTCGAAAGGTATTTGAGAGAATGATCAAAAGTATGGATTTTACAGACTTCAAAATCTAAATGGCCGCAGATAAATCTTAATGTAAAGTGCCGCAGATACTTTAGTTGAGCACCGAAAAGTGTAGCGAGAAGAGACTGATGAAAATGTTGTCGGAGAGACTTACGGGACAATAATCCAGCTCAAAAAGGCATTGAGCGACAATCAGCTACCAACCCATGAGCGGCTGAGGAATGTTACTA